TCTACCCATCAAAGCTTTTATGGTGGCATCTTTGTCTTGCAAAGTACTCTTCTTTTTGGCATCCAACTCCTCTAGAGACAACAACTTTTAACGACATTGGTTAAGAAGTTTTGCTAACTTGAGATTTGTCTAGACAGAAGCTGCACGTAGACATTCAACTTTCAGCCTTCCTGCTTGCCTCATTCAAAATGTTGTGCATTTTCCTCTCTCCCTCCAACGCTAAGTAGGCTGTCTGCCGAAGAAAAGTACTAGTGGAAAGTTGAAATTAATTGATCAGACTGTTGTACAGTGATGAGAGCGGTTGCAATTTCATTGTCAGTTGATGAAGTGGGCTCATTGAGAAGCATGTCCTTTGCTGAAGCTCAGCTATTTGAAGCAGCTTTGGAAGATTTAAGAGGATTGTTTAGGGTAGACAGGTCGTCAACGTTCACGCGAGCTCGTTTCACGCTTAATCTATTGGTTTCAGGAGTGCTACCAACCGATGCAGGACTCTTTTAAAGCACTGCAATATAAGGCAGAGTAGGTCAGCATCAAGTAGCAAAAACAAAAACAAAAACAAAAAAAACAACGGGAAAAACCTTATTTGAGGCCTCCATGGCAGTGTCTGTTCAATCTTGCTTCCCGTTACCAATTCCCACAGGGCCACAGCTAGTACAAGTGCATTCAATCCAACTGTAGCCTTTAGAGCGAATGAGTATTCTGCTAGTGACACATTTCCTTCCTCAAATGTCTTTAAAACCAGGCAAATTATCAAACGAAGTAAAAGGAGCCATATCCTGATACGAACAGGTAAAATGATGAATCTATAAGCATCACATACTTGTGTTTACTTCCCTTTTTTCAGTACAAAATTACAATTCCCTCTCATATGGTTCTTTTATAAAATACAGATAAGGACGTTTGCTATGATTCACATAAAATAAACACTACAGGCAATTGTGAAGTTATCAGTTATATTTTCGGTTTTGTCCAGATTTATATTGCTATTTCCATCCTTGAATACACAAATACAACAACACCGCAAAGTGAATTACAGCACAAATTTTTCAGTAAGATTTAATTACCTCAAAAACATATGAGGAAGCATCCTCTTGCCTTCATCCTGTAAACATTCTTTGTACAATTTTACCATAGTAGATTTCTTCACTCGAACGAGGTTGTTCCCAGGCCAATGATACATGAACCAAAAAGAAAACTAGCTTCTTCTATATCACTCCACTTGCCACCCCATGGAACCAGGAAACAGATAAAAGTACCCTCTTCCACTATGCTTTTGATGTATTCCAATCACCATTCTTGTTTCAAAGCATATTTTGCGACTTATCTTATCGCGTGATCCGATTTAATATCCATTGGGTCGGCATTGGGTTTTTGCATAATGCTGGCTCTTTATAAGCCAGAAATACAGTGGTTAGAAGAGGAATCACAATCTGGTACTCATCTCCAACTCTAGGAAGTACCTCAGGATCACAAAGGACACCTCCAATGATCGCACATTAGAAGCTTGTGGGACAAAAAAAACTAACGGTTACCAGATTTATCCGCATTGCGATCCTCATGTGCGTGTGGTTCCTATAACATTTATTTACAAGGCTCAATTTTTTGCTTTCTTCCTTGTAAATCTACACTTTTTTGTGATACATTGATTTACAGTACTCCTTTTTTCGCTGCCTGTTCTATGTGACCAATCTATAGGGTTTCTGTTGCAAATTTAGCGAAGTGCTGACTTGTGTCGTGCCAAATTAGCAAATACCAATTGAAGAAAACATGCAACTGACAACAATCAATCCAGGTGGAATTTCTATGAAATAAACCGAAAAGTGGCAGTAAACAAATTTACATGAAGATTAGATGCAAAATAAGAAAAATTATAGCATTGTATGGAACAGCACCGGCATTCCATCATTCTAGAACACATTCTCAAATTGATAGCTGACATATTTGTGATCCCTGATTTCTAGCTATAATTGATTATGGCATGATTTTTCTAGGTAATTAATTGAAGTAGCATCTTCAGAAGAAAGTTGAGGTTCTGCCATAAAACTAATTGACAAGATAGGAAATAGTCTAACTTCTTATAAACCCATGCAAAGTCCACATTTCCATCAATGTGAGATTCATTCTCAACATGCCCCCTCACATGTGACAAATTTTCAAGCCTAACATGTGCTCAAATACTATAACGCTAGCGTGTCATGTTACAACTTACACGTCACACATATACGTAGCACACTTGTGGAGAGAATCTATAGTTCAGGGGCAAAGCTAGAAAGATAGTTTATCTAGATCACAATTAAGTAGTGCCGGATGTAAAACTTTACTTTCGTTGCTTGCTAACAATAGCGCGAGTGTCGTCAAAATTTTTTTTCAGTTTTTTCAATGAGGCATTTCGTCATGCACTTGACTGACCCATACCATTGTGTGGTTAGAGTAAATCCCTGCTCTTTAGTGCTCTTTTAATTGTGAATATTGTTATAGTCAATAAAACAAAGAGTTAAATCAAATATGTATAGGCCCGGGAGCTCCAATTTATCAGACAATTGGGAGGAAGAGGGACATACATTTTATTATTTTAAGAAAAATAACTAACTTTAAACTTTTCTAAAAATCGATGTCATATATCTAAACATGTATAGGTTTTTCCCTTGTTCTTCTTCGTGAGTTGTCATAATCAACTTTGATATTTGCCTCATGTGCGGTCTTAGACGAGAATCAAGTGATATAATTGCACTGGAGAGATGTCGATGTTGTTTAGCGTTTTTTGAACTTGTCTATTTCACAGAGAAAAAAAAACTGAAGAAGGTATATTTTGAGATAGTTTTGTCAAATTGTTTAAAACTTTTTTTTTTTCTAGACCAAAAAATTGAGAGGCGGCACGTGCCCTATTGGCCCTTTATCAGATTCAACATGAGTAAATTGTCTGATCACATAACATGTGTGACTTTTAAATATGGACAATTATAGGATAGATATATTAACACCCAAACAACAGGTGAGACGTCGGGTTAGCAATATTTATCGGCACAATCATCAGATCATTCATCTCCACCTTAAAAACGAGGCAAGTAAAAATGTCAACATAAGATTAGTCGGTCGACAAAAACAGACAAATGTAATGTGAAATTAAAATAGCTATTGGCAATTACTACATAAGCAGTTGATTAATTTTATAGGCAAATATCGATGCAACTTCCTATTAAGATATCCTACCACATAAGAAGATATGTATGCTGTCTCATTGAGTGATGTAATAAACTTAATTAACTTAATTTCAGTACACAGTAATACACAAAAACCCCTTTAAAATAATACTCTATAGAGATAACCTCTTTAAAGTTATAAAAAGTTTCGGTCCAAACTTGGGACCAGTTAAGTATATGAATAAACTTCATATTGTAATAAGTTATAATTTTTCTTAATCTCATCTTACATAAACATACCTCCACATAGTGATAATTGTCAATTAGTATAAAAATATGTTATATCACAAATAAAAGTTTAAAATAAACTAAAATGTTTCTATAAAGTTGTTTGAAACAATACTTTAATTTTTAGAATTGATGCCACATCTTTGAATTTATGAATACATGTCGTCAACGTTGATACATTGACATTGACACATATTGTCAACACTTTTCAAAGGGTGAAGAGCGACATGGTTGAATCCACGCGATGACATTATGCTTTGATATGATATTTATTTAATCTGTATTTACATTCCAAACACTTTTAATTAATATTTCGAACAAATGCTTCTGATGAGCTGATTGGTTTGATCAGTACGTATCACTCTACACTTCAAATTGTAATGGATGAGGAGGCTGCAGCTAAAAGCAATCAAATATCATCAGATTCCATTAACAATTTGCTGCTGCATGTGTTAATTTAATTAATCGTACGGAATATTTTAAATAAATCAGGAACTAATTGCCTTCGAGCACGTCAAACGGTCAAAGTCGTTGACGTGGTCCATTAATTTGCAGAACATCAAACTGGTGTTTTATATATTAATTCTGCTCCAATAGATTGAGCTCGATCGAATCCGAGGGTGGCAAAACAGTAGTAATGCCGACCAAGTCGATCGGCGTCACAACACAGGCATGCCCTACAACAAGGTATAAGTCACAACATGTTATTAAGGTGGAAGTTTCTCCCACCAACAATTTGGCAAATTATATATGCATGTCTATTTGCTCATGATATTTAATATATCAAATGAAAATTAAGATGGCGTTGGGTGCGGGTGCAATATTCAGATACGTTTTTTTTCATTTTATATATGGTAAAAAAATCATTAAATTGAGTGTTAGATAAGAATTTTAATTCATTTTGATTTTAGTCTCGTTTAGAGGAAGGGGATTTGAACTTCTTTTTCTCTCGATCGACAATCATGAGAAATTTGAGTTCATGTAAAGTTTTAATGAAGTAAAGACTTGGTGCTCCTAGACAATAATTAGATGGTTATTTTGGTCCATTTTAGGTATTAGTATGAGGCTAGCTAGTTACAAGAATGTTGATTACTTATAGTAATATTAATAATATTAATTATACTTTTTTTTTTAGTACATCTATATTTTTACACTAAAGGGAATGAGAGTTCGGCTAAGCCACACAATGAGAAGTCTAATTTGGTATCGAATTCATCATCTACAAGATTTGAACCTAGCACATAGTGCACCTAGCTAATCTTTTTTTTGTTAGTAAAGGTCTTAAGTTCAAAACTCATTTACGATAATTATTGAATAAAAGAAAATCAGTTGAGTTCAAAACTTATCATATATAACAATATAATTAGCCATATAGGGTGCGTATTAGCTAGTACGTACAAGTATTTGCTATCGAGTGCGTATTAATACATACATACATACATACATATACATACATACATACATACATACATACACATATATATATATATATAAACACCCGTGCTTCCATTTGTATATAAATAGAAATGATGGGAGTGTTGACTCCCCACAAGTACTGGCTCCTATCCAGAAATGGTCGACAATAATAATCCTGGAGCAAGCGGAGCTGCAAAGGATGATGATATTGATGGAGGCATCAAGGAGCAAGACCAGCTGCTGCCAATAGCCAACGTCGGGCGGATCATGAAGCAAATATTGCCACCCAACGCCAAGATCTCAAAGGAGGCCAAAGAAACCATGCAAGAATGCGCGTCGGAGTTCATCAGCTTTGTCACCGGCGAGGCCTCGGAGAAGTGCCGCAAGGAGAGGCGGAAGACCGTGAATGGTGACGATGTCTGCTGGGCGCTCGGAGCGCTGGGTTTTGATGACTACACTGGTCCGTTGCGAAGGTACTTACACAGGTATAGAGAGCAAGAAGGGGATAGAATATCATCGGAGGCGAACAACAATATTAATGAAGATCATCAAAGGATATCGATCAACAATATTCCTCATACACAAGGATCTAATTATTTCAAAGGATCTAGTACTTCTGGTTGTAATTATGTTCGATCAGTATGTGTGCGGGCCTGCGCTTGTTGGCTAAGTGAATTGATCATATATTGTATCTACTTTCTTTTTAAATATAAGGGAATATTATTTAGTGTCATTGAGGAGGTAATTATATGCATCTCCCACCTAATTAAGGGATTATTATTTGAGTTTTTTCATCATGTGGTTTGGAGGTTCTGCTGGTTCTAGTGGAATTTATTTCATGTGAAAGAACACATGCAACTGCAGACAAATTTAACCGAACCCCCTCATAAGAATAGTAAACTAAAGTAGTTGAATAAATTTGTCTTCTGAATTTTAATCCATGATTAATTATGGTAACACTGGTATAAGGTCGCTGTCAGTGTCTCTGTGATATGATAATTACACCTATATGATATACTGAATATGCAGATGTTTTTTTTTTTGGTTGTCACAGCTGAATATGCAGATGTTGACTAGATAAAGATAATAGCTTGGTTAAAGTTGTCTGTTTAATTAATTAAGGTTTAAAGATTGTTTAACCCAAAATTTGTTTGTTGCCTGTGGTTGGGGAATCAGGGACCACCATTAATTTAGTGGCTAAGAGACAATCTTACATATTAAAAAAGTCAAAACCAATTTAGAGTTCATGTTTAATTACGTGGTTTCATTGTATCTTTCTAAACTACGTACACATATAAGTACAAATTAAGGAAGAGCTAAAGAAAGAATTAGGGTTTCTAGGGCATTTTTACATTTAATTATTTCCTTTTGATGAATATACATGGTTGATATATAACTTCTATTGAGTTTCTGAAATTAGGGTTTCTAGGCCATAACTCCGATATATGACTATTCATCAAGTGTGAACGTTTGTTCTTGATTCAGCAGATGTATACCGTACATATTCTTCGAGGCATTTAAATCTCTTTGAGGTTTTATTTGTTCGACTACTGTGCGTATACGGTTTACAACTACTTGCTCTTTAGTTTCTTTTTCCTTCTGAACAGCAGGAAGTACAACAGAATTATTTAGGGGTGATGGATCTTAACATATATATACAATCATCGGGCCTGGCCTGTATCTTGCAATAGAATTAGAGAATCGTGAAAATCAAATGCAAATTACAATGATGCTCAAGTTCAACCAAATACTTTACAAAAATTTGCTATCTCCGAAAAGTATATACATGTCACATCAAATGATATGACTGGTTTAAAATGTAATCTCGTTGACATTTTAATACTGAAATATACCATTGTCACTGTGTAGCAGCAAACAACTATGAGTTTTGCCACATGTAGCAATCCTATTGGTTGCTCTTTGAGCGCATGCAAATTAGACGATACTTACGCACATATATACTGGTGTGACAGGCGAGTCCACCAAATAAATTGCAACTTTGGAGAAATTTTTCGTTCTAACCGAAATACGGATGATACATCATGTATTTTTATATAAATGGTAGTAAATTGTATTTTTTTAAGTTATTAAATTTTTAACACATATATCCCACCATTTGTATAATGACATAGTGTACCACTATGTGTATCGGTCATACTAAAAAATCTCTCGCAATCCTGGGCTTAGATGATAATGTAACTACCGATGCTGGCTTCTTATTGATTTTCTTTTTGACAAGAAACAATAGTATGATATTTCATTAATCAACACAAACAATTACAAGGGTGTCATTGGGTACATAGTTCCAGTGACCAATAAGAAACCAACACCGATAGTGACCAATAGATTGATCTGGAGTGAATTTGCACAAACAGAAAAATAAGAGTAAACCCCTAGTAGACTACCACAAGCACAAAACACACAATTGCCAAGCACACAAGTGCCACCAGTACAGATTTGTCACAATAAACGATAGACGCAACATAGAAATACAAGCAGCCACAATGGTCATCGCTGAATAGCGAGACCACATAAAGTCATCGTAGTAGAGCGAAACCACATCAAGTTATCGTTGACAAACGAGACTACATAACTTATCGCACAAAGGCGAAGACCAATCTAGCCAAAACAACAGCGCCACCACGGTGCACATAAGGCAAATGAAACACAACTACACTACTTCGAGAAATGATCCACTGGTCAACTCATCATAGTGGGCGACGAGGCACTCAGGCCAAGGCCGTCTACAAATTCACTGGACAATGAGGTATCGACATCCATACATTAAACACTATAAGAGTTAGCAGCGACAGGCAGCAGAGTCGCCAGGTCCGAGATACATAAGCTGAGGCGCCATATCAAGTCGAACTGTACCGAGACGTACAAGCCGAGCCGCACAAGCCTACCAGATTTGAGTGCACATGTCAATACAGCCTCAGAAACCAGGTAAGGAAGGTGACACCACCATGGAAATGAGTTGATAAAGGTAGATCCAACCCACCTGCAACACAAATCTAACCTCACACCAAGAAAAAAGAGCGCCAAATCAAAGAAAATCTTGAAAGGGCATGGCCCAGATCAGGGTATAAGGCATAAATCTATGGAAAGTTGCTCATAAAATAGTGGGAGAGAATCACGAAATGAGAGATAAGGTAGATAGAGGTTGGGAATGAGTGGTCGGCGTGAGGTCAGAGGGAAAGAAACTCGTGTATGGCCAGAAGAGCGAAGGCTGGGATGGGGAAGAGGGGGAAGATGAAGGGAGGAATGGCTAGGAGGAGAAAGGGAAAAGCTGCCACTGGCCCCCAGTTATAGCCAGAGGCCGGTGACAATAAAGGTAGCTAGCTAGGGTCTTGTTAAGAGAAAGAGAGCTTTCAGAGAAAGAAGGGATGTAGTGAATGAATATAAAATTATGGCCTCGACTTATTGGTTTTCTTTTTATTAGTAGTAGGCATGCAATGTGTTTAACAACCATGGCATGAGCATTGGTGATTTTATCCTATTTTTCACTTTGGAATTTTACTTAGAAATTGAGTTACATGAACTGTAAGAAATTGCTTGGCCATGAAATTATTTGGAAACTTGAGATGAAAATAATCATAAGTTGCTCAACTTTTCCGTTTTAAGCATGTATTTAATTTAGGGTGGTTCTATCCACACCCTTTTTTTACCTCATACACATTCCCTGTTAATTTTTGTCATTTGATTTTCTTCAATGCATTTGTTTTGACAGTCAAAAATTAAGATTTGTGCGTGGAAAGTAAAAAAAAAAGTTGTGTGGATAACACCATCAATAATTTCTTCGGAGCTAATAACTCCTTCCTTGATAAGGAAGACAACAGTTCAATTTTAAGACGGAAATGTCATATTCATCCCCATAATAATGAAAAATAACCATATCTCTAAACGTAAATGAACCATCAGAGATTATCCATAACAATACTCACCGGGTAACGGATTCCCCATTGGTTAGAGGTTATATCCACATTCATCAATGCAAAAAAATTATTCGTTTAACTAACACATTTTAATTTAATAGATATTAATTCTGTCATTAAATATCTACATCCAAATCATTAAAAACATAATAAAACTTTATGGAGGTATTTATGACAAGCCAAATATGATAGCAAATTAAGGCAAATTGGTCCCATGAAAAAAAAGAATGGGATGCCAAAGAAAAATACAATAGCCAACTACTAGGGGAGAAAGACAATACAAACTTATGAAAATAATTTCAACACGACACAACACATAATATATATTCGGGGCAGATTCGGGGATGGATATGGATCGGGGACCCTTATTGACACGCCCTGATCCTGATATCCCCAAATACCAGGATAAACATGTGCTGGCCGACACCTAAAAGTGACGAAGCCATTTTGAACATGCATGCAACATATAAAGAAATAAGGAACGTAAACAAACTGTGTAAATTTGATTATAATGAAGTATGCAATTACAGGAATGTGTTCAGAGCATACAACTAATTAAGAATAATGTGAAAGAATTAATATAAAATGATACGAACAAAGGAGTAGGTTTTACTTTGAAAAGACTCGAGGATACCTATGCGGAGGTGTCTTGACGCTGCGATTAGATGCTTCGATTCTAACTCCTAAGGGGGCACAAAACCAAGGGTGAGTGGACCAAAATTTATAATAATAATACTAATAATAAGAGAACCATTTTCTTTCTGAACATACTAACCCCTTGTTTTGAAAACACATATATAGTACTACATAGTAGGTTTTCTGAAAACTCTCGCATGCCATGAAAAACATTCGTAAAACAAGTACGTGTAAACCAGGGCTCAGTAATGGTAATAGTCGCCCGAAGGTAAACCCGTAAAACATCTGTAAATCATATCAATGATGTACTCAACTGGAGGTATCATAGTGGCCTGAAGGCATAACCATCACCTGAAAGTGAAGTTGTACGACACCGGGTTACGCTAGTGAAGAAAATAGGGGTCCATCACCCGAAGGTGAAGCTGTACGACTCTGGGTTACGCCAGAGAACAAACATATATATATATATATATATGTATATAATGAGTCCATCTCCCGAAAGTGAGGCTGTACGACTTTGGGTTATGTCAGAGAAGAAAAATCATCCGAATGTGAAGCTGTATGACTCTTGGTTACGCCAGAGAAGAAATATATATATATATACATACATACACACACACAACACACTGACACTAGCCCTGGGCTAGTGAGGTTGGGAGTATGTCATAAATCTCATCAACTGTGTCCTATGACCATGGATGTATACATACTCGGTTGTGTGTGTGTTGTATGATAACCCACTAGATAAGCATCGAAAATGTATCTCAAAAACTCATATCAAATCATCGGAGCTCAAAAGCTCAAAGCCTCATCTCATAAATCCATAATAATTCATACTCGTAAATCCATAAAATTTCATATACGAAAATCCAATAAGTCATAACCTTTTCCTAAAATGTAAACTCGATAAATCATAAATATTTTGTAAAAGCAATTGAAATAAATCACAAATTCTCCGTAAACCATAAATATAGAAATCCATAAAACATAATATAAAACATACTCAATTCATGAAATATGAAATGCATGCAAGTCTAATATTTAATAAAAACATGCAATTTGAGAAGTGGTCTACTCACAATATTTCATTGCCGAGGAGCTGCTCGAACTAGAGAGGACGGGGTCACTTTCCACCGAAGCACCAAAACACAAATAGAGCCCATTAAATAACCATTTATTAAAACGATCAAATTTGGGAAAATGGACAGCGGATTTGGATTCGATACGTCAAAAAACTTAAGGAGGGACCTTGGGTTCCCCCACGCGGCGCCATAAGGCGGCGGCCCGAAAGGCCACGCTCCACGTACGCGCCGAGATGGGTCGTCGAAAAATTCACTAGCGTCGCCGTGGTCTTGGTCCGAGTCGAATCTGGGCTTTAGGTTGCTGGGTTAGGCCGGTTGCTGGATTGAATCCGGGTTAGGGTTAATAGGCTAAGGGTTTTGGGTTACATGGCCCAAAGTTTTGGGCTGGGTTATTGGATTAGGCCCGATTATTGGGTTGGGCCTGGTTATGGGTTGCATGTCGGGTTTAACACGTTGGGCTCGCGGGTAGCTGGACCCAACGAAGAAGAAGGCCGAAATCGCAGGGAAGTGGCCAGAAAACTTCAAATGGCCGTAACAAGTTCATTTCTCAACCAAATTCCAAGATTCAAAAGCTAAAATGAAGCTTAAGAGGTAAGGAACATAAATATACCTAAGTGGGACATGAGTCATGGCGGAAGCTGGCTAGAAAAGGGCTCGAAGGTTGTTGGGTTTCTAGCCAAAAACTGGGGAAGGTTCCCCCAAGCTATCTCTGTGTCTAACATCCACTAAACTACTCAAAAACGTCCCAAACTCACTCATGAACACAATCTACGAATATCTAAATGGTTTTTGAGGCTTACCCAAAGGAAAATAACGAGAACTCGCAGGAAAACTCCATGAATAGTGACGGTGCAACAGTGCAGTGAGAAAGAGAGAAGAGGAAGAGCCTCAACTGGTTTAAATCGAGATGGGCAGGTCTCGAAGGTGGTGAGGTCGCTGGAGTGTGAGCCATGGTGGTGGTGATCCAGTCTTCATTGTGGTGTTTGTGTGTGTGTATGTGTGTGTCTATGCTTGGAGAGAAAGAGAGAGTGATGAGAGTGATAGTTTGAGAGAAGAAATGTAAGAGAGTTTGCAGAGATGAGGGGAAAGACAATGAGATAGAGTAAATGTGTTCGAGAGATCGGGGGAGAAAAAAGAATACCCAAAAAATGGGGTAACCTGCCACGTGTCGCCACCCTAATGGTCCATGATGGAGAAATGTCTTCAATTGGAAAATAACCAAAATGCCTTTATCATTTCGGAACTCGTAAAATCTTTGTTTTAGCTCCAAATTTGATTCCGATTGTGCCCAAGCGTTTGTAACGATGAGTACTACAAGGATACACCAAGGAAATGAATCTCACGTGACACGACAAGGCGGTCAACAAAAGTCAATGTTTTTACCTCGAAGGGTATTTTCGTAATTTCATGTTTTAAAATTATAAAAACCGAAATATTTGGGGACGGGTCATTACACCTATAACCATGTCCAAAAGCTAACCGAATAATATTCATGGTTTTTCCCCATAATCGAAAAGTACCCGAATTTTCATATTTAAATTTGTCCCATTTGGAAAGTTATGTACGGTTATTGAGTTTAATGGGTTGAATTTTCATTATTGTACTTGAGCATGCATGCATGTATTTTATGATAATAAGCTCATTCGTCAATTATTATTATTATTATTATTTTTAGGCTAAATTACACAAAACTACATCAACTATGGGTTGAACCACAATCTCATATCTCATGTTTTAAATATTGCAATGTCATACCTCATCTTACGAATTCGTAGCAATGTCAGGTCTCCGTCAATTTGTCTGTCAAATTTTTTGTTAACTGGTGGCGTGCCTTCAATAGGGTCCCACGTGGAGTTCCAACTAAGGAAAAACTGGGACCCAGTTGAAGCCATGTCAGTGTTTAATATTTTATTTAAAGAATTAAGAAAAAAAACCAAAGTTTTTGGCCCAACACTCCCATCCCAAAAAACCAAACCTTCTTTCTCGACATCTCAGAGAGCCTCTCTCTCTCTTTTCTTTCTTTCTCTAACCTATGTGAATTTCGGTTACCCTTTCTCTCTCATTTCTTGAGTAAAGCTTCCCTGAGGTTAGTCTGATTCCATTGAGTTAATTATGAATCGCTCATCTTCGAGCAAAGCTTCCATGAGATTAGTGAAACCGATCGACATTTTGTTGTCATCGTGGCAATATGTTTGGAAGATGAAGGGGTATCGTTGTAGGGATCATGCAACTTTTTGGCGGTGAGGGAAGTCGAATTCTTCGTAGAGGTTGCCAACGTTATTGAGGCAGAGGACGTGATGGGGCTTCTTGGAGAGGAAGACTTTGGGTTTGGTGAGGAATCAAAAGTAGGTGTTAGACGAAGTGTTCGAAGTGGGGGATGATGTTAGGTTGGGTTTGGACAAGCTTGGTTCAGAGGGCTTTCGTCCTTCTTACGTTTTTCTTTTCTGAATTTTTTGGGGGGTTTTAGTGATGATGAAGGACGTGGAAAACGAATCTGGGATATTAGAGATTCAAGAATCGAATTGTAATTCCAATTCACTACTTATCTAGCTTCCCCTAAATCAAAACCTGCTCACAAAACCCTAATCCTCAATTGGGCAAACATTGATTGTACTGTCCAACAAAATCTTCCTAAAGATCCTCGCCAAGCTACTGGGTCGCAACAAAAGCCTAGCTTCATCGTTTGCAAGCGGTGGCTCAACCTCCACGACCGCCTTATACGGTTAATCAAGCTTGTGGTGGTTGGCGGTGATGAATGTAAGAGAATAATGCCCCACACTGCAAGAATTGAAATTTCACAAGTGTAGCGACAATGTGCTGAGTGGGTTTGTAGCATTTGAGAATTTATAGGTGTTGAAGCTGGTTGCAAATGTAGACGGTTTAGGTTTGATGCTTCGATTCTTCTAGTTCGCTATGGGGAGAAGAGAAGCGAGGAGAGAGAAGAGGGGGAGTGGTTACTTTTTTTTCATTAATTTTAATTTTGTTGAGACAAGAAATTTATTTAATTTGGTAAATGAGTGTTCTCATATTTGCCACTTCATCATTTAACGATCAACTTAACAGAAAATTAAACGGAGGTTTGACATTGCAATAAATTTGTCAAACGAGATATGACATTACAATGTTTAAAACAAGAGGTATAAGATTGTGATTCGACGTATAATTGATATAGTTTTGTGTAATTTACACTTATTTTTATTAGGTAATGCTAAGGAAACCAAATTTTGTAAACCAAATGATGTGGTTATTGATGGTTGTATTATTAACTAAAAAGTATGGTTAAACGTGCTTATTTCATGTTGGTGGTTAAACGTGCTTATTTCATGTTGGTTGTACATTATTTGATTTGTAAATTTATTTTAAAATATTAATCTCCCTACCATTATATTTATTTTTATTACAAGTTATATTAGACGACTTAAAATTAAATTAAAAAGATGATCGATCATTTAAACTCGAGACTTTCATAAGAAAATTGCCTTTCAATGTGGAATCATTTTACAGCGAAACATAAATCCGTATGCATCAAGTAGCTGTCTGCTGTGTTCATAATGTCCAAAATGGAAAAGTGCTTACATCTGAGATTATTAGAATCTCGATAGACTACTTTAACCCCATACTCCTTTTTTTCACCCTTTTCTCTCCCTTTCTCTATGCTCTGTCGGACTTCGTCATCTTCGGCTGCCCTCCTCCTCCTCCTCCAGACCCCTCTCTCTCTTTCCGCCGATTAGGGTTTCTCCGGTTCCCAGCTCAGGTGAATCTCTCTGCTAACTTTTACATATCGCGACCTTGATCTCTCTTCTGATCACCGATTGATTTCACACCAGTTTCTTTAACTTATTACTGTCTGTTACGAACTGTTGCTTTTCAACATTGAGTGGAGCTGTAATTTTGGTAAATTTTCACATTTGGAGTTCGATTTCGGAAAGTTTGAGTCTTGAGGTTTGATTGCTGGGAAATTCTGGGAATTTCACTGTTTGGGGGATTTTTAATTGGCTGTCAAACAGATTAGGGTTTTATGATTCTTTGACTTTGAATTTAGGGGAAGTTGACTGAACTAGTTGATTTAGGGTTTCTGATGTGTCTGTGGTTTTTGCATTTGGGAATTTGGGTTTGGCTCAGTTTGTTGATGTTTCGGTGATTGACTTTTGCAGATTTTGGCTTCACGGTTGCGAGTTAGAGTCTGGCTGGATGGCGATGAACGAGCGGAAGACCATTGATTTAGAACAAGGATGGGAGTTCATGCAGAAGGGGATCACAAAGCTGAAGAACATTCTAGAAGGGTTGCCCGAGCCGCAGTTCAGTTCTGAGGACTACATGATGCTCTACACGTATCTGTTTCTAACTTTTTTTTTCTTTCTGTTGTGGTCATTTTTATTTGCTGTCGTTGTATGCTTCAAAGATAAATATTGCTGATTGCGTTTCGTTGTTCGTAATTTTATTCACAGAACCATATACAATATGTGCACTCAAAAGCCACCACATGACTATTCACAGCAGCTATATGACAAGTACAGGGAATCTTTTGAAGAGTACATTACTTCGACGGTGAGGAAGCAGTTAGCTAATATTTTTCCTAGTCCCAGTACTTATGGTAAAACAGATTGCATAGTGTTTACAGTGTCACGAACTGTTTTTTCTTAAGCCAAAGTTATATTCTTAATGCTCTGCACTATCTAACATCACCTAACCTGTTAGAATTCAATGCACATTGATATGATATTCATTTGGCATGTGTTGTCAGGGCTAATTAAGCGCTCCCAATCCCCAAGTGTTGTTTGAGATGTTATATATATATATATATTTTTTTTTTTTCTCTTACGAATGGTTTTTCTGTTGCTTAGTTTAATTTTATATGCTTATGTCAGGTTTTGCCATCTTTGCGAGAGAAGCACGATGAGTTCATGTTGAGAGAGCTTGTCAAAAGGTGGACCAACCATAAAATTATGGTCAGGTGGCTATCTCGTTTCTTTCATTATCTTGATCGCTATTTTATAGCTCGGAGATCACTTCCACCTCTAAATGAAGTTGGACTTACTTGCTTCCGAGATCTGGTAAGTTGCGCTGGAACCCTTACATGCCATCTTAAATCAAGTTGTTTGGAGAATTCTTTTGATTGCCTCTTGAACCATAGCTCAAGCTGACTTTCATACCTTTTTTTTTTCTTTTATATACATTCGCTTCTCCTCCCTCACCCTCAACCCATTTCGTGGTAAAATTTATATGAACGATGTCCTCAGTCACGATCCCTTCACATCTTCAGCTGATTTTTGTGAGTTAACAGATTGTAATATGATGGGTAATATATCGTTGTGATTTTCAGGTCTACCAAGAATTGAAACCAAAAGTAAGAGGTGCTGTAATATCTCTGGTACGTTTCTGTTTTGCCTGAACCACATGTTGTAATATTTAAGTTGTAATAAATTTACTTTACATTTTACAAATCAGATTGATCAAGAACGTGAAGGAGAGCAGATTGATCGAGCTCTCTTGAAGAATGTTCTGGATATATTTGTTGAGATTGGAATGGGACAAATGCATCACTATGAAAATGACTTTGAAACAGACATGCTTAAAGACACTGCTGCCTATTACTCTCGAAAAGCTTCCAACTGGATCTTAGAAGACTCTTGTCCAGATTATATGCTGAAAGTAAACTCCATTACGCTAATCTTATCAGTTTTAACTTTATATACACGTATATGAACTATTTGGATGAACTTAATTTTTGTGTGAAATTCCAGGCAGAGGAGTGTTTGAAACGGGAAAAAGATAGAGTTTCTAACTACTTGCACTCTAGTAGTGAGCCAAAGCTGCTTGAGGTTTGAATTTGATAATTTCTATGAATTTACCATATATGCATATATATTTCTATGGAATGTTAAGTCTTGGTTAGTCCAGATGCAAGTGTCTGTGGATTTTGAGATCTGGCTGTTAATGTTGTTATTATTTGCTTAATGTAGAAAGTTCAACATGAGCTGTTGTCTGTTTATGCAACCCAACTACTTGAGAAAGAGCACTCAGGTTGCCATGCATTGCTTCGAGATGACAAGGTACCTTCGGAGAAATGTTAAAATCTACATCTTTGTTCATTAGATTGAAGGAATTCTGAAAAAACTAGATGAATGTTGTTTCTTATCCTTTTTTCTTTTCTCTGTTTAAGGTGGATGATCTGTCTAGAATGTTCAGGCTATTTTCTAAGATACCTCGAGGTTTGGATCCTGTTTCTCAAATATTCAAGCAGGTTAGCAGTCTTCCTTTATTTTTTTCTGGGTTAAAGGTGATCTGGTATGTAGCATTAGCATATATTTTTCCATTTCTGTTTTTCTTTTTTCATGCTCTTAATATTTCATGGTGTTCCATGATGCAGCATGTTACTGCTGAAGGAACAGCCTTAGTCAAACAGGCAGAAGATGCAGCAAGCAACAAGAAGGTATATGCCTTGACCATCGTTTCTTTTATTTTTATACATTCATGGCTGCTGAGTAGGTTTTCTACCAAATACTGTCTACTGGTCAGACTATGTTTGAAATTCTAAATTAGAGACTCCCATAGTCCCATGTGGGAAAGTAATATAGCCATAGAAAGTAGATTCAAATGAAAACCAAACTCTTGACATGGGGGAAATAATATAGCTATAGAAAATAGGTTCAAATGAAAACCAAACTCTTGACCGAAATTTTAGATCTTTACAATCTTCCTTAAAATATTGCTTTTGCTTTTATTTTTTTTATGGTAATTTAAAAAATTTCCTATCCATGAGGATTAAAAGCTCCTTTGCACCATTAAGAGATTCAGTAAATCTGCATAGAGGGCATGATATGATATGTTATAAATTGTAAAGATGAAAGGATTGTTCATATATTTCCAAAGAGTGTCATGTTAGTCGACCTTTCTTGTTTCATATATCGAACTAGACAGCTATTTTATAATGTCAGTTTTGATTTATCAGTAGTCCAGTGATCATTTCGTTTGATTCAGATTGTTTGTTCATGTAATGGTATTCGACAAGTAATTGTATGTGAACGCTGACTTTTTTGTTCCCCCGCAGGCAGAGAAAAAGGATGTGGTTGGTTTGCAGGAACAGGTAATTTCAGGAACATTGCACATGTGGAACTTTTGATTTGCTTGAGGGACACTAATATGATTGTGCTTTTCAGGTTTTTGTTAGAAAAGTGATTGAGCTGCATGATAAGTACATAGCATATGTCAATGAATGTTTCCAAAACCATACTCTTTTCCACAAGGTTTGTATTTTAACAGGGCTTTAAGATTCTTATTGCTGCCACCAATTATTTCTGCTTAACTGAAAGTTTTTTGTGCATCTGTAGGCCTTAAAGGAGGCTTTTGAGATCTTTTGCAACAAGGGTGTTGCTGGAAGCTCTAGTGCGGAACTACTTGCCACTTTTTGTGATAACATTCTTAAGAAAGGTGGGAGTGAAAAGTTGAGTGATGAAGCCATTGAGGAGACACTTGAGAAGGTCTGGACTCTTAATGTGCCATTCCATTTATTTTCCTTCCATGGACATATTACTTTTTTCTTATTCTGGTAGACGAAGTTCAGTAACAAGGGCCGATCAAACTGCAGGTAGTAAAGCTGCTGGCTTATATTAGTGACAAAGACCTGTTCGCGGAGTTCTATAGGTATCACTTTTATTGCTCAACTTGCTTCCTTTCAATCTAATGTGTTTTAAAAGGCTTGCCTCAGGGCTTGCCTGGCGGCCTCTGAGGCTGGGCATCAGTGTTCCCGCCTCTGTTTTGAGGGAGTGGGCAGAAGGCTTCGCCGGAGTGCGTCTGGGCGGCGGAGGCGCGCCTCAGGGCGTCTGGGGCATTCATCTGGGCGTTTTTTTCCTTCAAAATCTAGGTTTTCTGAAATGTTTTATGCCGTTCTAGTTTCAATGAAGAAGAATGAGAGACTCTAAATCCCATAAATTTCCATAATAATTGCTCCACTCATCCTTTATTTCATTTTAAAGACCCTATAAATACTCCACTCAACCCTTTATTTTCGCCATTTATTTCATTTTAAATACCCTATAAATACTTCACTCAACCCTTTATTTTCCTTTAAATTCCCTAATTATTGTTTTATATCATTTTAAATACCCTATAACTACTCCACTTAGCCTTTATTTCCTTTTAAATTACTTATAATTGCAACATTCAGCCTTTATTTTGCTTGAAATTTTCCTATAATTGTGACCATTCATCCTTATTTTTCTTGAAGTTCTCTATAATTGCTTACAATAAAATAAATAATTATAACATTTTGAGACTATATGACATAGTTTCCAAGTACAACTAGACTTAGTATTAGTAATATAGAAGATGATATTATCTTTGATTTAGTTATAGTTATATTTGTTTTTACAGAGTATTATGTTGTTATAAATATACTTATATATATAATATATATTAAAATTTTAGGTTCCGTGAGGCTTTGCCTCATGCCTAGGCTGGGCTATCCATTGGACACCTCGGCCACGCCCCCGCCTTTTAGTACATTGGTTTTTGGGAAAGGTTATAGATGATTATATATAGTTTAAAACTAGAAGGCATTACATAAACTATACATGTTTAATTTCTGGCAGGAAAAAGCTTGCTCGACGTCTTCTTTTTGACAAGAGTGCTAATGATGACCATGAGAGATGTATTTTGACAAAACTGAAGCAACAATGTGGTGGTCAGTTTACCTCAAAGATGGATGGAATGGTCAGTTGTCCTAAAAAATCCTTCAAGAAATGTTGTTTTTAAGGTTCTGTGCTTGCGTGCATGCATTTCAGGGTTACTGCTGGAGATATGACTAAGAAAGAAAAAATGGTTCTTTTTTGCAGGTTACTGATTTGACATTGGCCAAGGACAACCAAGTTGGCTTTGAGGAGTATCTGAGAAATAATCCACAGGCAAATCCTGGTATTGATTTGACAGTTACTGTCTTGACCACTGGCTTCTGGCCAAGCTACAAGACTTTTGACCTCAATCTACCCCCAGAGATGGTATACATATTCAGCTGAGAAAATTCCCTTGCCAAATTTATTATCTGCTGGGTTAAGAATCTCGGGGATGTTTCTGACTTCTTTATATTTCACTCTTGCTTTAGGTTAAGTGCGTAGAACTTTTCAGGGAATTCTATCAAACGAAGACAAAACACAGAAAGCTTACATGGATGTACTCACTGGGTACTTGTAACATCATTGGGAAATTTGAACCAAAAACCATAGAGCTTATTGTGACAACTTATCAGGTGATGTATTTAAGATATTAATTGAACTCTCTAATCTGTGGGCTATTTCTCGTATTTTTCTTCTGGGTTGTGAGATGCCAATCTATTAGAGTTTTATTTATTTCTAAGACTGATTTTCCTTTATCTTACTTTAGGCTTCAGCCCTGCTGTTATTCAATACCTCAGATAGACTGAGTTACTCGGAGATTATGACTCAGTTAAACTTGACTGATGATGATGTTGTAAGACTACTCCATTCCTTGTCATGTGCCAAGTATAAGATCCTGAACAAGGAACCAAACACAAAAACTATCTCTCCCACCGATTACTTTGAGTTTAACGCTAAGTTTACTGACAAAATGAGGAGGATCAAGGTACTTGGATCCTTACGTGGTATCTTGTCATTTTGTCTTCTAATTTTGTGTTTATCTGAGTGATTAGTTAACTTATCACTGTGATCACTGATCACCATGCAGATTCCACTTCCACCGGTGGATGAGAAGAAGAAAGTAATTGAAGATGTTGACAAGGACAGAAGGTATGCCATCGATGCATCAATTGTGCGTATTATGAAGAGCCGTAAAGTTTTGGGTCATCAGCAGTTGGTTATGGAGTGCGTAGAGCAGCTAGGTCGCATGTTCAAGGTTAGTGTAGTGCTTATTTTTTCTGGTTTTGTACTATTTAAACCCTTTTTCCTTGGGTTCTAAATGAGTGATGTTTGTTTCCCTCCCTCCCTTGTCTCTTCTTCAGCCCGATTTCAAAGCAATAAAAAAGAGGATCGAAGATCTAATCACAAGAGACTACTTAGAACGGGACAAAGACAACCCCAATTTGTTTAGGTACTTGGCATGATGCAGTCTAAGTTGATCATCCTTCAAATGGCGTGGTATCTCTTGCTGCTACAATTAGCACAAGAAGTTGGTTCAAGCAGTGGACGCTTGTTGCCAATTCCTCGGTGACCAATAGTGATTGCTTAAAAAGCATGAGCCGAGAATACTTTGTGCATTTTGCCCTTGGAGCAAGGTATGGATGGCTAATATGGGTGGTGCACTCTTGCTGGGGAAATCTGTAACTGACTTCGTAATACGGTCCCGGTGCACCATGGGACCGTATCGTATCTTTGTTTAATTATTGCATTATCTTCCATCGCATGACTATACCAATCCATCTTTGTTACCTGTCTCTCTGCCCCACTGGAAGGAGGCGTACTTTCGGTCCCAGTGTGTCCACTTGAAATTGCATGTCGACGATCAGATATCAAATTTATCAGGTGGGTGCTTTGTCTTGATTGCAAAACACATGGCTTGTGAACTCCGAATTTGTCAAATATGATTACAAGATGCTTATGCTCTTCTGCTTCATGATATGTTTGGTCGATTTGTGTTATTAGTTTGGTATTTGGTGCCTATCTATTTATTTACGTTGATGGATTTGAATGCCTACTTTAGAATTATTTTCCTTACTGTACATGGGCCTTGCCGCACACGGCTTGTTATCCAGAGATGTTAGATTACACTTGTTGCACACTCCTCTTGGCTAGCCATTGGGTTGAACAAATGAAGGAGAATCGAGGGCCAAAATAAAGAGGGATTGTGCAGAAGGTAAAAAATGGTGTGCAAAAATCAGTTTATTATGCTTGCGGGACAAGCAATGAATTTCGGCTCCTCTGTAATCCCAAATTACACGTAATCTTGGTCTGCCGTCAAATTTGTACCCTTAAACAGTTCGCTTGTGCTAACCCCTTGCCAATTGCTTGGGCAATTAGGCAATCCAATCCCCCAAAACTCAAAAGAGTTTCTCCACCTCAGACCAATCCGTCGGGCTATAGGGAGCCTAGCAGAGCCGGACTGATCAATCGGGCAGGAATAGCTGAGGCCAAGGCCGGCCCTAAGAATTTGATGGTTCTAGGCGAGCCTTCTAATTGGAGTTCTAGAATGCACTAACCCCTAACACTATACATTAATATGTAGAAATTTTTTTGCTAAAGACATGAAAAAATATATTTCTACATCAAATAACAATAAAAGTTAGTTTAAAAACAAAGTAAATTGTAGCAACAATCCCTTAACTTTAACTGAACTTTAACTCAATTGGAGTAATGGTCTCTCAACTAAAAATCCATTACCATTGGTCCCTCAACTCATCAAAACGTGCAGCTATGATCCCTTAACTAAAAATCAATTACTATTGGTCCGTCAACTTTAATTCAACTGGAGAAATGATCCCTCAACTTTAACCAAAATGGAGCAATGGTCCTTCCAACATAACTTTTGACAAAATTCTGACGAAGTTGATGAGTTGACAAACCAATGGTAAGTGATTTTTGGTTAAGGAACCATTGCTCCAATTTGTTTAAAGTTAAAGGACCAAACATTGTTTAAGTATTACATTTGAAAGGCCAAAAATAAAAATATAAAACCCTTATTAGATTAGGTTTCCTAATTGTATTTGAATATCTTTGTTGGGAGTCTTAGTGTGGCCTTTTTAGTTAATATGAAATTAATTAAAAAATAAAACGGCCTTTCGAGTTTCAAACTGGGGGCAATGAACAATCACTATGCCTATAACACTACAACAGCGTGCATTGCGTAGCATCTATCTTATTTTCATAATATTTATAAGACAAATAGATATAATAAAAAAGGCCCGAAAAATGGGGGCCCCTAGGCGGTTGCCTTGCACGGCGACCCTCAAAGCCAGCCCTGGCTGAAGCTGCGACTGAGTGGATTTGACGTTAGTCACATTTCTCTTTTTTAGCATTAGGTGCATGATTTACACTCGTCCAAAAAGTGGAGTTGGTGCCTGCGTACAGAGTCCCCGGCGCGGGGTGCTGGGGGGGATGTGGCACATTATGGGTCGTTGATTTTCATCATCAACGCTCCAGATTTTTAGTACTTAAAAATATATTTAGAAAAGGAAAATTAACAAAATTCCTTATTACTGTTGGGTCCACATGGCACAACCCTGGTTGTTGGATTGGAAAAAAATATTGTAATCTAATGGGCTATATTAATTAGGTTAGATAAAAATTATAAAAAACTATAAAAAAATTCAGAAAGATACAAAAAATATTAAATTTTTTCCTATAAATATCTCATCTTCCACCCTACATTTCAGTACTTTCATATACTTTCAATCAATCTTTCTCTCAAAAGTTTCCAATACTATTGGAAATCTATTCACAAAATGTTTATAGGATCATAACACGTGGCGCTATAGGATTGGTTAAAAATCTAATAAAAAATTCATCCATAAAAAATTATAATTTCGAACAATGACACGTGACGTGACCAAAATGGTTAAAAATCATATCTGAATTATTTTTTAAAATTATTTTTTAATATCAATTTTCCAGGCAACTCATTTATGAAACGAAGATGCACTCAGATAATTATTATTCACTAAGGTAGTAATTGTTTTTGCCTAGTCGCATGGACATTTAGCATCTTAGTGGGATAGACTTGCTCTAAGGTCAAGTCATGGGCAATTTCTAATCGTTGGTGGGCTGGATATGTGTGACACATACATCAACGGTTAGAAATTGTCCACGAAGGTAAGCGACTAATGATGGTAGCATATCACTAAAAAATTTGGTATGATATAAGCCCTGACATTGGGAGGTGGAAGTAGCTTTCAGTTAGAAGTTTGAAAATGTGACTAGTGTTTGTTACCAAGTTGATACGGAATCAAATCTTAATATAATAAGCAGTCGTGTGAAAGCCATATAATCAAAATCAAGTGATGATTAATTATCATTGCAATGCGAAACAACGGATCAAGCCAAAAATAATTTAACAGATCTTTAGTGTACAAGTGATTACTCTGAATTACTTGAGCTATAAACTATATACTCATCTAGATTCATATACTAGAATGTGGGATTTCAATGGAAATCGCAAACAAAACTTGCTTAAACAATTAAGCAAAAAGAATGATAATAAATTTGTTAATTTTTCTCATTCTAATAAGAAAGCGGAAAGGGACCAAGTGAGAATTTTTAGGTTGGCCATAATCGTCAAAACTAGAGGTGATAAATTAATTCATTGAATTATTAATTGGTACCTGTTAAAATGTGTTTAATTTGATATTATCGTAACTGTAATATAGAGATGAGATCAATAGTGGGGATGATGATGTAAGGTGAAATTAGATTAAATGAGTCATAATTGTTACTCATTAACAACTTAATGAGTTGATTTGACACCTCTAATCAAAACTATATAACTTTGATATTATATAATACAAGAAAACGGAAAGGTGTTATTTTTCTAGGAAGTTCAACTCAATGAATTGCCAAATGCCAAATGCGATACCAACAAGATGCCAAATTGCAGAAAATGGTAAAGGTAATGGAAGTGACGGAAGCAAAATTAACGGTTCTCTCTTAATTCAATAAATCAAAGAAATTCCCAACTCACAAAGTGAAGGCCAACAGAATTGCAGAGATGTCTCTCCTCCTCTACTACTAGCTTCCTTCCAAATCCATGGTGCTTTGCTCACTTTTTCTAAACAAATAATCACTTCTTGTTTAATCATGTTTGGCATTTCCAACTCAATAAAGTTTGTCAAACTTGAGATTTTTGGACCCATTTGCTGAGATCACCACCCCTCTCTTGTATTTTATATTCTAACCAAACAAAGGGGAAGTTAAAAGTAGGGTTTCCATGTTGGAAATGATGCATAATTAGCCCTTTGGAGGATTGGGTTGGAGACACCCTCTCCTCTCGTGTCATTTTTTTATTACGTGACAACCGTTTATTTGGCTGGTAATATATTTTTTTAATATGTGATGAATGCTTATTAAACAATAACGCTATTAAAATTAAAATTTGATTGTGTGAGAGAATCTCCCGTGCTCTTGTTGAGTAGGAAAGGAAAAGAAAGGAAGTGGTGAAGTTCCCACAATTGCTTATGGTAATTGCGAGTTAAGAAACAGCACATACCTGCCGTGAGCACCTGGTTTTTAGTTAGTGGGAAGGATTCGCATTGTCAAAAAGTCATGAATGGGTTCAAGCGTTTGCTTTTGTTTTTGTTTTTTTTGCTTCTCTCATGCATGAGGCAATTCCCCATGTCCCAAACTCAAAGATTTTATTGTGAAATTATATATGGAACTTCAATTTTCCTTCACATTATCATAGCAGATTAACATACGGTTGAAGTTTAAAGTTACTCATACTCCATATTATTCGACATTTGGTGTCCATACATTTGGCTTCAATGTCCCATCTTGAAAAGTTAAGTACCTTGCATGAGTTTATAAGGAGTTGGACTCCTTCCATTGTTAATTGGTTTGAGATATCAAGAGCGCTCAAACGCTAACTAGTTAGGAAGTGAATTATTTGACACTAACAGCTTGTTTGGACCCACTACACAACAAAATATTCTCACGCGAACCATTCATTTTAAAGATCATCATTCGAAGATCACTCTTGCAAAAAATTAGTTTAACTTTCATCTCTCTAACTATGAGCATTTTTTGTTTTGACAAACGATAGCATGTGACTCATTAAAGTGGATCATTTCAAGACTTTCCGCAAAATAATTTTACAAAATGTGCATTCACAACAAAGTTATTCCCGTGCAATGATACTAGCCATTATTAAATATTGAACTCGTCACAAATATATATTGATTTTATATCCATTTAAATCGGAAATGAGACTTCCTCCAACCAAGAAGCGACTACTACTCTTAAACCCGAGTTGGTCTAACTATTAGCATTTTACCATATTATTTATTGAAAAGATTAACTCTAATTCTGAATCGCATGTGGATTACCTTTAAGCATTAAATTGTAATACTCTTATAGGAAGAATAGCCAACAGATTCTTGAATCTGTGGACTGGAGCACTAATTTGGATAGTTAATTAGTTAAATTTATTCCACTAAACAAATTGCATCACCAAATCAATTGCTTTGTTTTTTCTAGTGACATTGTTCCAAGTTGCATAGGTCATGCTCCATTTGTCGGGGCAAAGTTTCTCCGACACGTACCCTAAAGCTGATTAATTGCATCATCCCTTGCCCCCAAGTAGGTCTCTTGCTTTGTTGAACTTTTGCATTATTATTTTATTTTCATGGTGAACCTTGTGGTGAGCATGACAATATCAAAGCTCATAAAATGAAACCTTGTTTTCCTAATTTACATGTGCTCCAAATATCTTAATTTTGTTGAAAAAATCCAAAAAAATTAAGTTATTGCTCTTGAATTACAAAATTGTGGAAATTAAAACTATATGAACCAAAGTAAAAGCTCATGCAAAGTACATAAACCGAAATTATAACTAATCTCATTTTATAAAAATTCTATTATATTATGGTGTATCTTAAAACCAAGATTTTTTTTATCGTTATAACTTTG